AAAAACTAATTGTTGAAAAATGTAATTTTACCGTGTTTTTCTCCCTTAAAAATATTAAATAAAATTATTTTATAGAAATAGAAAAATTAGGAATTTTCTATACAATCCAAACAGCATTAAAGCAACCTGTAAAAACCATAGATAATAAAATTGATAAATCTAAATATTGAAAAGCCAGATAATACGGCCACAACCAAGATGCCATCAGGTCTGAGCAATTCAACAATTGAATTTGTTCTCGCTGCCTTGGTCTCAAAACTGGCGGTCTGAAGCAATGACACATGTAACTTTACACAGGAGCACCTTTTGTCACATTACCTTGATAGTTTTAGACTGTAGTCTCAGTCCATTGAGAGTACTGATTGCTCTTTCTGCATCACTAGGGTTAAGATAGTTAACAAATCCGTACCCTAAACTGTGGCCTAGAGAAAAAAAAAAGGAAAACAATAAAACAAACAAAACAAAAAAAAAAAGTTGAAACGTTCCAAATACAAAGGAAAAAAACATCCTAGTATCAAGTGGTAAACTTCTGGGGAAAAAAATTAATGCCACCAAACAAATAAATCCGCATTGACTTACATATATGTGGGAAAGGCCTCAGAAAGGAAACTAAAAATAAGTAGGTTTTTTTTTCAACACTGAAATGAAGGCTACATAATTGTAAAGAAACAATTAAGTGCGTCTGAAGTCACAAATCTTTTAAAAACTTTAGTAACATCACGGCTACAGGCAAACCCCACAAATAAATACACTGCGTCTCTAAACCAACGAAGACAAAACATTTTCTCAGATCTTCCTCTCAACATTATTTTTTTTTTGTCTGATTTGAAAGCAGTGAGCCAAGTGCTAATAAATACTTGCCTGCTACTTTGTCCCGAATAAGTTTAGCAGACTCCACCTCCCCAATGCTGCTGAAGAGACTACGCATCTCATCTTGGCTCATATTCTGAGGCAAGTAGTTGATGATGAGATTTGTTTTGGGATCTTTAGGCTCATCGGCCATGTGATCTTCGTAACCGTTCGACATGTCATAGACCTCCTGGAAATAATAAAAACAAGTTTCTGTGAAGGTTATACACAATAAAAGCAGAAATCAACATTTAATTGGACTATTTAATGCAAACTCATTGTGCACTCATTTAAAACCTGGGAAAATGCAGTAAATGGTTTTATGCTTTACTTGCTGTTGATACCTGACAGTTTTCTGCATACAGTTGTGTAAAGGGTCTCAAAATTAGGCCTAACTCTTGCTTTTCAATTACTAAAGCTGGCAAGCCAGTAATAGAATGACAATCATGCAATTAAAGAAAATTTTGTGTGTATATATATATATATATATGGGTTGTGCCGATAAGACGACAGTATCGTGTATCGACGATAGACAGAGATATCGCCTGTGGCTGATTCCTTTGACGATAGCAAGACGATTATTATTATCCGGCTAGTAATACTATCTAATTAATATAGAGAATAGGAATCAACGTCATGCCGCGTTGGATTCCGCCATGTTTTAGGTCACGCTCCGGTCAGCACACTGTGTAAACACACGCAAATCACCACAGAAAAAGCCGACCGTTTAGCTCGTTCTTTTTCCGCGTTTTACAGTATTGCGCGTTCTAACCAATCTTCACTTTCTCGCAATGAAACTAAGTAAATAATTACATAAATTAGCACGATAATATCGTGTATCGACGATCTCACAGGCTGACGATAGGACGATATGAAAATTGAGCATATCGCCCAACACTAATATATATATAATACACTACATTAACATTCCATTACCTAAAAGTGACATTTTATTGCTTTTTTGTTTTTTATTAATAATGGAATGTCCCATTAAATTTGACAAACAAACAAAAGTTTTATGGCTAATTTGTGAATTATGGGTTTATATTTTTCTCTAGGGAAGAACTAACGCAATTACAAGCATCTGTAAGACAGTTTAATCTTACAAATGCATTAGTGACACAGAAAACAGATTTTTTTTTTTTATTAATTTACATAAACTTAATTCCACATTCCCACTTTAGATGAAACAAATAAACAAAATCGTCATGCCTCCGACAAAAAGTGGAAAGAATTAACAACCTAGCCATAATAAAATATCTTCAACCAGAAACAGGGACAATATTGCATTTCAGAGCATTTTCTACCTGTTATTAAAATGTAACCTACAAAATAATACTTAATAATAATAATTTATGCATTTAGCAGACGCTTTTATCCAAAGCGACTTACAGTGCATTCAGGCTATACATTTTTTTACCAGTATGAACAAAAATGTTACAATCTGACTTTAACCAGTTTGTTCATTAACTATGAGTGATAAGAATATATACCAGGCTAAGACAGTAAAAACTAAAACAAATGTGAGCAAAAAGACCAATACAACTGTCAACAGGACTCACCGTACTGCTGTTATTTTACATGCCATGATCAACACTGCCTCCAATGGAGTCTAGCTGAAACTGCACGTGACCAATATATTTGCCACAAAAAATAAAATAAGGTAGTGTACATTAAAAAAAAGGGGTCTCAGATGTCTAACAGCACCTCATCGAGGCATTTTTGGTGAAAGATGAAGAAAATGATCACTCTGGTGACCCGTGATTATTCTGATATCGGACAGTGAGTCCCATTCATGTTAGAAGAGAGGTCTTATTGTGTATTCCACACGGGTAGCCAGTCAACCTTCAAGGCTGAAACAAACAAGCATTATTACTGACCCTCCTACAACCCAACATTGGAGGTTTTGATAAAGTGGTCTGAATCGCTCATCGACAATTCAGGTCGCTCTACTTCCATCGTGAGCTGGTCCCTACAAGCAAGGTTAAACTTGGCAGCATTTGCCAGGTCAAATACCTTCGACTGACTTTATGCAACACCTAAGAAGATGTCTAGTGCATCTAGTTAAAAGCCTACCTCAGATGAGAGCATTAAACCTTAAGTATGGCTTGCTTATCACACATGCTACAGCACTACATGGACGAAAACAGCCTACAAGCACTAAACACTACTGACTCCAGCTTACAGATTCAGTATAACGATAAATAAATGGTTTAAAATCCACATTCAGTCCCTGTTGGACGCAAAATCTACTCACTTTTAAGTATCTAACGTGTCCCCTTCTGACTGCCATGAAGAGCCGTCACAGATCCCGACTCTGAAGATACCAAAAACAAAATAAGGTAATAAAAATACACGCTGACGAGAAGGGGTGGTAGGGAAGGCAAAGGTAGGTTTGGGGGTTCAGAGCAAAATAAATAAACTAAAATAAAAGAAGGCCAAAAAGATGAGCCAACTTCTGATATAACCTGTGGAAAAAAAGAATAACAACCATCGGCCATTAAGAGTGGTGTAGATTCAGCGTGTATTTTTAGCACCTCACTTTGAGTCTGTCCTGCCTTCACACAATCTCCATGTTGATATTGCATACATGGTGTACTTGTTACATTACATATTTTATTTTTGAATGTGTTTGTTTTCATAAATGAAAAAAAAACATCAAAATTTAAAATACAATGTAAATACTACATGTGTAGTTATGAGTTTAAAAGCAAACTTTTCTGTACTGCACTATTCATAAAAGGACCATTCATCCAAACATGAAAAAAAATTTCACTTTTAATTCTTTTTAAACACAAATCAACATGTCATAAAATCTACCTAATTCTGTAAAACTATTTTCGCCTGCACAAATAATAATAATGATTAAAAAATAAAACAAAATGGCAGATTAACTTTAAACCTAAACTATGACACTTATTACAACTAATTGATAGCATAGAGGTCGAAGAACATCTGTTTAGAGGATAGTTCCGTATAATTTCCCACATTTCTTTTATTAATTCACAGCAAAAATATTTGCATTTATACAAATGTCTGATTTGGCGGTTAATCTTATTACACTTGATGTCTTAAAATGTACTACTGCCATAAATACTACACTGTTCAAGCTTTCGTAGGCTGTTGGAAAAACTGAATAAAAGACATTTGTAATTCTGCCTAGTCGTGGGGGCGTGAAATGTACAACTACCCCGCAGCAGGACATCGCTCTTCAGGTCATGCTTGTCTGGATTACCTCGCCATTGTTACGGTTTCGTATCTTAGCTACAGAACAACAACCTCGCGGCATTACACAGCATGCTTGTAAAGAATCATCGATTCAAATATAGGTCCCAGAATAAAATAGCACACAACATGAGGCCTCGTTCCCCACACACCGTCCCCATATTTTCGCGATGACTCACTCTGTAAATCCCATGCAACTCTCGAGTTCAAACTCTAGCAGGCTGCGCTTAAGGGGCCTAACCCAAATAAAGTCAGGCCTCGAACACCGAGTGGATTTATAAACGTTGCTAAATCCTAATAAACAAGTTCAATATAACAAAATCAAACGTTTAAATGTATATCTGGCGCCTTACCAACTTCAACGTCTCTCCGATTCTGCAGTAGAACGAACGCACGCGGAGCTTTAGCAAAACGTGGCTTTTTGGCGCTGCGCTCTCGTGACACAAAAAACACGCCACTAGGGAACTCTCACTCTTCCGAGCAAGCGGAAGTCTTAACCCCTCTCACTTTCATAATCCATTCAGATTCAGAACAACAATCACTAATAATAAAATCAGACGTTTTATTCGATTGTATCAGCTTTATTGTGCAAAGTAAAACGCCCTTGCTGTCCGTGCATATACAATATTCACTGAAGAACAGGTATTGTGATGAGACACTAGTTTGTAGAAATTTAAGAAGTTAACTGAATAATATATCAAAGTAATTAAGAGTGAAATATTTATATGTATATATGTGTGTGTATATATATATATATATATAGTAAGCATTGTGTTCAAACCTTTGTTCGCATCTCTGGTTCTCAGTGACCACATCTGGCTCATTAAACCCAGCGGCTGCTTCATCACTGTTGAAAACCTTGCAACTGAAATAACTTGGATTACTATTACAAAATGTTATGGCATTAATTTTTTTTTTTTTTTTTTTTTTTAAGTGCAATCATTCAGAAGAAAAGTCACAAGAATTAAATTCCATAAGTGCCTTTTTATTCTTGGTCAAGGATTCGATACTCTTGTGGGGGTTGATGCCTCATTAGCTGTGCCACTATAATCCAAGACATTACCTGAAGACAGAAAGGTCAAAGATGACGTTATAAATCTTGTAAAAGATCAGGGCATAAATGAATTATAATTCAAGTCACAGAACTCACCAGTAAAAAGAGAACCACTAAAGATGTTATAATGATGACGTGCAGTGAAAGTAGTAATTTCTTCTCAAGTATAACTTGACAACCCTAGAATAGAAAAAAAAAGTGGAATCTTGCTCAAAACACTGGCATACAAACCTAATTTAAATGAATTAACAAATGAATCTTTGTTTAGCAGTGTTGAAACCTTTTTAAAGAAATATTCAAATTTTCCATTTTTAAGATCCACTGACAGACATCTGTAACCATTATATGTTTGTATTAATATTATAGTAATTGCACAATTGTCAAGACATTTGCTTGTTTGTTTTTACACACTGAGGTACAAGATTAAATTATTTTTCTGTCGTTATTTAATTTAAAATAGCTAAAATTGCATTTAACCCATAATACTCCTTTTATGTCACAATAAAATGGAAGCAGTCTATATCTTTTTATCCATATTGTGACATACATCCAAGTGTAACAGATTATTACATTTTTACTACATTTCTCATCAGCTAAAAAAGAATTATAAATGAATGAATCATTCACAGTGAGATTTAGAAAATAAGAAAGGAATTTAGAAAATAAACAGGGTGACTTTTCATTTCATGTTAACTGTAATGAATGGTATAGCCTTCTGTAATATCAAGCAGGAAAATATTAATATTATATCTAATAAATATGGTAGCTCAAATGTAATTAGTATCTGTACCTCATTATATAGCAGCTGGGGTGAGTCTAAAGTTCCATTGCAGGAGTGAAAGTTTTTGTTGCAGCAGCTCAGAGGAACTTCGTATTTCCCACTATGATTAAACCAGGGTGTTTCCAACCAGTCTGTGTAGTTCTTAACACCACAACACCGCAACTGTAACCAAAAAGTGTAACAATCTGATTTTGCCAAACATATAGAAATCCTAGAGATTTCTGTGCAAATACCTCACGCTGAAGGGCATCCACTGCTTTGGTATCAGGATCTTGGCTGTTACCACTGTAGTTCTGAAACACATCTTTAAGGGGAGCCAAGTCTGCATCAAGCTAAAAAAAAAAAAGATGTTTCATGTCAAACCATTTTAATGTAACACACTTTACCTGCACATAGCCAAATACCATAAAATTTCAGTTACCTTCCCTTTATGAGTATATGCCAATACAGCAGTAGTACCCATAATGCACCACACAATAATGAGAAAATACACAAACTGAAAGACAAGAAATATACAAATATGAACACCACAATCTATTAAATTATTTCTTTTTAGCTAAAAAGAAAGACAAATAATTTTTCCATCTTACTAATCCGTGTCCACATGAAGGTTTTTTGTTGGACACTAAACACCCAGTGCATCCACTGATTAAGAGAATGACTCCTCCAGCAACAGCCAGCTTTGCAGGGAGAATTATATAAAGGCTGCTAAAAAACACACCGTAAACTCTGTATTTATGCAGAAAGAATGAACCACCCAGACCTGTAATTCCAGCCAGCTGTAAAAAGTGGAGAATGAAGAAGTTAAAAACTAGAGGAACCAAAACATCGCCATCGCTTGTCATGTGCCGTATGTGTCAGCAGTCATGTCATTGTTACTGATAAACTGAGGCTAGTTGTCTTTACTTTATTACAATTTCAGGGTCATTTATGAAAAACAACTTGTCCTGAGAACACAGTTCAACACTTCATTTAAAATCTACTTCAATCATAGCTTACTCTTGCCTGAATGTATGTACTGTATGCTAGAGTGATTTAAGTTTGTTCACTTGTTTATCTAACAACATCAATTATAAAAATATGCTGATATTGGAATTTGGTTTATAGAATTCTCACGCTAATATAACATTTTAGACATTCTTATGTCGTAAACCAACATACAAAGCCCCCTTTAGAGAAAAGAAAACATGCAATTATATACGTCTTTGTAACAAATGCATTCGGATTATGACAAACGAAAGAAGTGCATGATGATAACAAGACTCACCAACAAAATCAGAGAAGCAATCTTTAGCAAAATTCTGAAACCTCTTAGAGCCAACATGGCTCTGCCTTAATCGATTCGGCTGAGCGGGAGATAATCTATAAACACATATTTGAATCGCGGTTCTATCAAAGTCTCTCGGTCCAGTTCAACTTCAACAGTAGCAAACACTGATAAGAATGGGTTTAAATCGAAACCATACAAAACTGCGGAAGTGACCGACTTAACGAGTAAGCAAGCAGGGGGCACTGTACCAAACAAATAAACCATTAAAACGATGTATAAAGGGCAATGTAATTGACTTGTATGTATGTAGGCTATGTATGTATGTATGTATGTATGTATGATAGATAGATAGATAGATAGATAGATTTAGACTGGTAGATAGGTTTATAGATTTTTTATTTTTTTATTTTTTTAGGACACATGAATTAATAATAACATATTAAATAGAAGCTTAATAATAAGCTTCAAAACGCATAAAAAAGAAAACTGGTAACCAAATGATTATATAACAATTATTGTTGAAAGGGAACGCAATTGCTATATTCGCAGCATATTGTTATAAAATATTATATCTATGTTGCAATCTGATAAATGCCAAAAAATAAATGAATAAATAAAAACATCAAAGCTGTTTTTATTGGACGTCATTATTTTGCGACAAGTTGCATTTTGTCATTAGAAGCAAGATGGCGTCAGCATCAGAACATCAGTGTGCTCCAGACAGCGAACTGGACGAATTGTTAGACAGTAAGGTTTGAAGATGGCTTAAATATGAAATAATCCACAGTTATAATGTGCAGATGTTTTATCTCTTTAATAATGTTACAGTTTAGTGAACTAGCGTTTCGGAAGCGGTTGTCACGGTGCAGTTGCTGCTACGCTATTAGTCCGGTGTTTACGCTAGTCTCAGTGATTGAAGTTTTAGTAACGTAAAAACATTAGATGTGCATCAGTTAATTAACTTAGATATCGTCACTCTGTCTTTTCTATAGTCACATAAAAACTCACAAGTTATGTCCAACCAGGTTTTGTATCTAAACGGAGCTTATAATCGATGCTGCTGTGTTTGTACTGGACCACTAGCTAGTTTTGCTATTCATTCCTTGTGATTGGATGAAATCAGTCACATGATAATATACCATCAAAACAGATATAGATATACCCTTGGTACTCCATTGTTAGTGTTTCCTCAACTGCAGGTGCTCTTGATGATTTTGACAAGACCAGTGTGCCGCCTGCGGCCCCTACTGCCCCTGATCCAAGAACGACGAGTGATGAGAAGGTAATAAAAACATTTTCATTTTGAAATCAAGCCAATAAAATGATCAGAATAACACTATTATCTTTTCACAATTTTGTTGGTGTTCTTCCAATTCTGCAGTGAGTTGGTTCCATCATTGCTGCTGGTTAATGTATTTGTTTTCTGTTCTTTTCACTCTCAGCCTCCTCTGTTGGAGGACAGTAAGATCTTCGAGTCTCTCTTTGATGGTGAGATGGCCAATCAAGCACGTAAGGAGTGGGAGAAAACCATAGCTGAGTTAGCGCAAGAAGAACCTGAGCTTCTACAGCATTTTCATAAGCTGTCTGAGGCAGCAGGTAAAGTAGGTGAGTGATCTGAAATGGAGCACTTTATAAATGTTGGCTGAAGATATGCAAATTTAGTTATTAGCCCACTTTCCAATTGTTTTGACTCTACTTTTTTAAATTTAGGCACAGATGTAGCTTCACAACAAGAGTTCAGCTCCTGTCTTAAGGAGACCCTTAGTGGTCTGGCGAAAAATGCAGACAACCTCCAGGTAAACCCAAAAAAAATTTCTGCTATTGAAATATAATTCAAGAAAATGGTGGTTTTAAAGATAAACTACCATTCAAAATGGGGTTGGTAAGATTTTGATGTTTTGATTTTAAATTTTGATCTTACATTTTATTAATTTAAAGCATCCTTGTCCATCTTTACGGTTACATTTTATTAATTTAATGCATCCTTGTTGAATAGAAGAATAAAAAATCCTACTGACCCCACACATTTAAAAGGTAATGTATGACAGAAGCTTCGTAATTTAACTCTAAATGCAGAATGCAGGACTGGCTGGAGATGATCTGGTAAAGACCTTGGAGAACCTGGGATTGAATGAAAATGGAGAGGGAGGAGATGATGGCAATATTCTCCCAATTATGCAGTCCATCATGCAGAACCTTTTATCCAAAGAAGTTCTATACCCTTCTCTTAAAGAGATAACAGAGAAGGTGAGTTGCATCTGCATAACTGTCTTAATGACTGTCCTACTGTTCTGGTCCCAGTGAAGCTGGTAAATGCCTGCTATTAATTCAACATTTGCTTTCAGAAAATCTTGCAACACATTCCATTTAATATTGGGAAAAAAATGTACTAATATAATGCAATTTGCATTTAGTACCCTGAATGGTTGGAGAGCAACAAGCAATCCCTTCCCACAGACCAGTTCATGCGGTATGAGCAACAGTACAAACTAATGGGAGAAATATGCAGCCAATTTGAGAAAGATGGAGACAAAGACGGCACGCTTGAAAACATTCTTGAACTCATGCAGAAGGTAGAATGCATGTATTTTTAAAAGTAGTGCACTTATTTTAAAAAATAAATAATTGAGGGCATTTCTTTCATTCTGCTTACTGATAATGTGCCGATTTTTATTTTTTGTAATTAATTAAAAATGCATGAATTAAAATATTGCATCCTTTTTACTTAAAACACGTAATAATATTACTTAATATAACCTTTCAGTAACAGTACTATAAATATTTTTGTTCATGGAAATAATGTGTTACCCTTCAGCTGCAAGACTTGGGTCAACCTCCAAAAGAGCTTGCTGGAGAGGCAGTGAGTATTTACCTTTCTTTCTTTCTTTCTTTCTTTCTTTTTTAAATAAAAGCTATGTTATATTTACATCATCAATCAATCTCTTGTTTTTTTTTTTAGCCTCATGGCTTGAATTTTGACCCAGAATCTCTGCACCTTCCTGGAGCGCAAGGGGTCCCAGGACCAGAGCAGTGCTCAGTCATGTGATCTCAATGAGGTCAAATTAATGTACATTTGAAAACGATACAATTTGGAGCTAATTATCTGAACCTGAGTTGGACACAGTTGATCATGCTCCCCTTTTAATGGAGTTTGCTTTTGAGTCTGCACTGAAACTGTGAACGTTCACTACATTACTTTTACTTCGTAGTTCTTGTCCACAGAGGTTCTTTTCATATTCATCCTTATTCCGTTCACTGTCTTCACTGTAGAGCAGCTCTTAGCGTTTTGAGTGAAGCTTGATATCTCAGTGTGCTGACAGCTTGGTAAAAATCAAAGTTTTCTGAATTTTGTAAAGGTTTTACACTTTTACTTCAAGCACATTTGACAGGTATTGCGGTGGATTGTGTTTTGAGTAAGTAGAGACAAATGGACAGGAAAGGTATTTACAGATTGATTGGTTTAATTTTATTTTAAAATCTCAGAAGATTGGTCAGGGTCAACAAATAGCTTCCATCAGATTGATGAAATTAATTTAATATACAGTGTAATGTCCATTTATTCTCACACTATATCATGTATACTATTTCTGTGATCTGACAACTAATCTGACCAAAACGCATCTCTCAGATTCAGCATTTTCAAAAAACTAACTGCAGACACTTCAGATATAGGCTGATAATATATTGATAATATCATTCTTTGACCCATAGACTGCATTTGTAACCGAGTAGAATAATTATCTCTCCCTTTGTCTTCTAATGGTTACTATATCTATCTGCATATAGAGCAGCTGAAGTGTTGCCATGTAAATTTAAATAATTCCCATCATTCCTATGGTGGTGCCTCTTTGTGATGTGTTATTTTCACAATGATATATGTTATTTTCGCCTTGAATATTGAAAGAATAAAAGACATTAGCTATATCTTAGTATGGTAGTATGGTGGTGCCTCTTTGTGATGTGTTATTTTCACAATGATATATGTTATTTTCGCCTTGAATATTGAAAGAATAAAAGAATATTGTTTCGTAGTTTAAAATTAATACTATGTATTAACATTTAAAGAACATGCTAAATCCCAGGATATCTCAAAAGTAGGTTAAAGTTTGCAGTCATTGCTTTTGAGGGGATGTTTACGTGGTTCTTTTATGCAAACATGTTTGAGTGCATGGAAATGGGATCCTTACACAGGATCAAATGTGGAGTTGGTTATCGGTTTGCTTTCTTGACACGTGGCATTAGCTATATCTTAGTATGGTAGTATGTAGGGCTGCCACTAACGACTATTTTTATTTCGATTAATCTATCGACTAATTTATCGATTAATCTAAATGATTAATTTCCCACAACAATTTTAAAGAACATTTAATTAAACTTGCAACTTTGCCATTCAGTAGTGTACCATAAAAAAAGTATAAATATAAACAAGCCATTGACGAAATGTAAAACTAAAAGAGTAAACATGTAAACAAACCTAATAAAAATGAAATAAAAAGAAAATAATTACAAAATCTGAGAAAGTTAGCATGTTCTTAATGTCAATATATCCACATGTTCTGGGCTTCTGTTCATTACAGCTGTGAGTGCAACTACAAAGGGGAAAAAAATATGTCAATTAACCCCAACAGTTGGGTTTTCACATTAAATAAATGCAATGTTTAGAGTCCACTAGAATCAAGTATTAAAATTCACTTAATCTTTAATATTTGGCCATTTCTTTACGACAGAAATGCTATAGCCACTGTAATTTAATGAATATGTGGACATCAAAACGTGTAAACTCAGAGTGAGGGTTTGAGCTTTTATTTTGAAACCGCGAGATAATGATGTATTCTCCTGTGTTTGCGTGGATTTATAAATTATTTACCTTACAAATCTGATGAAATGGTGTACGTTGCATTCCCAGATGAACGTTATAATAAACCCAAACTCTCAACAACATGCGCAGATGGAGTTTGAGCCGCTCCACACATGTAAATTATAACAGTTCTTGCGGAACAGCTTACTGTGAACGGAGCCGCTGTGAGACGCACATACATAACCTACACGCCTATAACTGCATCACATATAATTATTTAATTAAATCGTAACGTTTGTGAATTCACAGTTATGCTTATTTATACGTGAAATGCGCCACTTCCGGTATTTTGCCGGTTAGTCGACGCGAGCAAAATTAAGTCGAGGATTTTTTTTTTTTTAGTCGAATAGAATCGACGAATTCGCGGCAGCCCTAGTAGTATGTGGCCAATATAACGATTATGAGAAGGATAGGATGGCCGTGTTACAACACTCAGGGGTTGCTCAAACACCCAAGTACTTAAAGGGGTCATATGATGCTATTTTAAAGCTTCATCACTAACTGCGGTTACTGAAACCACGCGTTCTTTCTTTGCGTGAACATTTGGGCGGCGTTATGCAAATCTTCCCAGATAGTGAGGTAGACATGTGGGGGCGTGTTAGAATGAGCCGTTTTAGGGGGGCGTGGCAGAGTCTTAACTTTGATAAAGAATATCTCTTTGGTTTTGAGACTTTAGTCTTTGCAACTTCAGGGATCTTATCTATGCACAATCAGCTTGTAACACTCCAAAGAGAAAGGAAAACTTGAAATCGCATCATATGACCCCTTTAAATCAGCTCATCAATATTCTTTGTCCTGTAAAATGTTCCCTTAAATGTGCAGTTCATTGATCTTGTCATACCACACTGTATGAAAGAACTGCAGTTCTCAAAAATCTAAATAAATGTTATAAACTTAATGTTTTATATTCTTCTCCAATTTAATTCCTGTTACATATACAATTAAATTAACACCACACACAATTGTCTGATATTTTTTGATTAATATGATTTCTTTTTTAAATTAACCAATTTTTTACCATTTTACAATTTTTATGGCTTTACAATTTTCTTTTAAAATCACATAAAGTAAAGAGACGTATACTACTTGTGATGTGTTTGTGGCCCTGTTATATATGATTTTTGTAGGTAAATTCTCACTTCTGTTTTGAATATTTAATTATAATACGTTTTTATGCACCAAGCAATGTATCATAAAATAATTAGACATAGCATTTTTATGTATTTTAATTTATTTTTGTTTGTTTTAATTCAATTAATCATTGTCTTAATTTAATGATTAGGTAAACATTCAAATGTTGTATTATTGTGATATGTGAACAAGAAGGTCCCAATGAAAAGTGTAAATGCTGCAACAGTAGTGGCTGGCAACAAACAGAATTGTAAAAAGATTTCATTATCTCTAGATTTACAATCAGAAAATCAATCACAAAACAAATAATAAATGTTATGTTATAATATGTATTGGCACTAATAATAGAACAAATGACTCAAATAACAACAAGGAACAATGCCATAAACTATTATTTACTTCTATGCTCAGATTATTATTTCCCGTTTATTTAAAATGGTCTTCTAAACGACTGACTGGGGGGGAAATGCGTTTTAATTTTTTTTATGCGTTTTCATCTTTTTTTTTTTCTTTTTTTTTTATTAACCAGAACAAAATATAAGTTGTCTAACTAACACAATATCATTTTCATACCAACTTTTATAAAAGAGAGATTTATTTTTATACTGAATACATATATTATTCCAAATAACATATTTATTTGGGGAAAAATTGTGCTTAAACACCAGCATCCAGGCCAATAAAGCTTGTTTGTGAAATTTAGCTAATTTCACAGGTAGTTTGTCAATTTTAAAATCACATCTCAACAGAAGATCTATGCCACCCATCATGTCAAACAAGTGTTTTGGAAATGTATACCACATGCTGTCCTTTTCTTTCATGAAGTTAATTAACCAATTAACCTTGAATGTATTGTTTAAAGTTTCAAAACTAAGCACAGATAAACCACCTTTACCCTTTGGTTTACATAAAATTTCCTTTCTCAAATAGTGATGTCTATTCCTCCATACAAAATTAAATAACATTTTGTCTAATTCTTTGTACACATTAGATGGCATATCTAAAGCTAACGACACATAGACGGATCTTGATATTCCCTCTGCCTTTGATAGTAAAACCCTACCATTCAGGGATAAATCTCTTTGAACCCAGATATTAAATCTTGTTTTAGTTTTGTTCATTATAGGCTTGAAATTGAGCACACTGCGTTCATTCTCATCTTTATGTATGATAATGCGTTTTCATCTTTAGCGGATGACGAAGGCTCTATGACGTGGACTTTGCGACGTTGGCATTTGAATCATCAAACTTTATTTGTTGGCGCACGGAAACACGGCCCGAGTTGAGTGGAGTGGATTGAGTAGACGTGTCAGCTGCGGAAGTGGAGCTGCAGAATCCAACACGCAAAATCCCTTTCTAAAGGGGATGGTTTTAGGATTTACACTGACGTAAACGGAGCTATATCTTCATACATTACGCATTTCTGTTCGGTTATTATTGTCAGTGAAAATGTTGACCAAATTTGAAACAAAGTCGGCCCGAGTGAAAGGTAAGATATCTGCTCTGCCTAGCTAAACTTGACTGCTGTATAATTATTATGGCCGCTTTTATGTAAACCAGTTGTCTGGTTTTAATCTATTCTTAATGTCTGTAGAATATAATGTACTATCTTTATAGTAAGGATTCAGTTCATATCTTTTTAAATATTGTATGTCGTTCGGCGTTAGCACAAAGCTATTATTTGTTAGCCATCCAGACGTTGCAGTAAATTTTTGTCTACTCCGTAGTTTCATATTTTGGTTTTATTGAGAACATGCGAATGACATTAACCTGACCAGATTGTTATTATCAATAAAGTTTTAATGATAACAACAATCTGTTTAAATCAATGTCATCATTATTATGTTCTTATAATACCGTCGTATTGACTGTCTTCATATGAATGAATACCTGAATTGATTGTAATGTGTTTTCCCGTAGGGCTGAGTTTCCACCCGAAACGGCCCTGGATTCTGGCTAGTTTGCACAACGGCGTCATCCAGCTGTGGGACTATCGCATGTGCACCTTAATCGACAAGTTTGACGAGCATGATGGTATGAAACAGCTGATCAACGATTTCAGTCTCTTGTGGTTTTCTTCTGAGCCCTCATAATATTGTCAATTCATTTAGGTCCAGTCAGAGGTATTGACTTTCATAAGCAGCAGCCACTGTTTGTGTCAGGAGGAGATGACTACAAGATCAAGGTTTGCTTGCTTCATTTTCAATAACTGATGTTTAATAAATTTGTCACCTGGTTACAGCTTCTATATTGTTTCATGTGAATTTTTGGTAACACTTTACAATAAGTTAACATTAGTTAACAAGATCTAGCAAAATGCTTCTAAATCATTTATTAATCTTAATGATAATTAATTATTACTAATACATTATTCAAATTGAAATTTTTTTATCTATAAACATTACTTAATGAACCTGAGCTAACATAAACTTACAATGAACAGTTGTATTTTTATTAACAAGCGTTAACAAAGGTTAATGAATACAGTAACAAATGTATTCGATCATAATTTATGCTAATACATCAACTAATGGGACTTTATTGTAAAGTGTTTTCTTTTTAAGCATTTTGATTTGCTGATATTTATTCGATTTGATTTTTAGGTGTGGAACTACAAGCTGCGCCGGTGTCTCTTTACTCTTCTTGGACATCTTGACTACATTCGTACCACATTCTTTCATCACGTGAGCCCTGTCAACTTTGTGATGGCTTCATGATTCTTTTGATAATGTTTATTTAATCAGTGAGACTAACTTAGAGATATAATTTTCAGGAGTATCCCTGGATCCTGAGTGCCTCAGATGATCAAACCATTCGCATTTGGAACTGGCAGTCCAGAACATGTGTCTGGTGAGTCTTTATATAGGTTATGAACTAGTGGATGTGCACAAGTAATACATTTTTTAATTAATTCATTATTTTTTTATTAGGTTGTTGAAGCTTATTTTTAAAACAAATATTGAATATTTAACATTTGCAATTAAAACCAAAATACATTTTGTGCACATGTAATACACATCTCACATGTATATGTTTTTTTAATTATTTTTTTAAATTAAACAAATTATTTAAAAATGCTCATTTTTTTGTCAAAGCATTTTCTCTGACCAATAGCTTAGTGAAACTGAGTTGTATATGTTCTCTGTTCTGTTTCTTCTCTGTAGTGTGCTGACGGGGCATAATCACTATGTGATGTGCGCTCAGTTCCATCCATCTGAGGACCTGGTGGTGTCGGCTAGCTTGGATCAGACTGTGCGCGTGTGGGATATTTCCGGTGAGGAGGCTCAGGACAGGATTGAGTAGTTTTGGGAAGGCTGGGGAGATGGGAATGGAGAGAGAGGATGGAGGAAATTAGAGGCTGTCTAATGGCATTCTCTTCCTCATTTTCTCTCTCTATGATGTGTACAGAGCAAAACTCTGTGGGCTCAAAGCAAAAATGCCTCTCACACTCATGCTGGAAGCATCAAGCATTCGTTTAGTGATTTGGAACTCATTTTTGTTATTCTTGGGAAGATTAATTAGTGATGTTTAAATCACTTAATGGTGATGTTTAAATGGAACAGCAAGTCATGAAGCACTTAAAAACAAAGATTCACCATATGGTCACCTGCTCAAATGTTGAATGTTGGAGGCATTTTTGAGATTCTGCATGTTTTAATGAAATTGTCAATGTCTGTCCTTTGCTTTCATTGCTGAACTTCTTTCTTGCTCATTAACCTTTTAAACTGCTGCTGTCTGAACTGACTGACAACAAATAACCCATTCATTAAAGCTTACACTGAACATGGTTTCTCTCTACCTTTCTCACATTTACATAAAAATATGGAATTAATATATTGCTGCATGGATAATGTGCAATTCGTATATAATTGTATGAGATAATGAGATGAAGTTTCATCAAAACTATAAGCATTTTCATGAACAGGAACAATTGTGATCCCTAATCCCTGGTTCATTTGTGAAATTCACAGAAGTATGCAAACATTTTAACTTTTTCCTCATATCCTGCATGATGGCATTTGTCATCCATAGATGACATAGATATTAATGATTAGATACCTCCAAGTTGATCGATCTATCTGAATGCAACTTTTCGATCAGTAACATGAACATAGATTGTCATTTACTCATTAAATGACTCTTAACACCACTTGAATGCATGATGGAATCCATCTATTAATGCATTACAATATGCGATGATAAATGCATGACTTAACTGGAGTCTTTCTCACTCCTTTAACATCCAGTGCCCCTCCAGAGAACATTTTGACACGCTCCACCCCATCAATCCACCATTCAGTTCCATCCCTGCTCACTTCCTGTACAGCTCCTTTGCCCCTCTGGAAACATCCACATCTGTACCTTGGTTTCTAGTGCAGCTTTTGTTGGACTTTTATTCATTTAGCAGACATCTGGAGTGCTGAGATCTCCGATACACATTCTGTTCTCCTCTCTTTTTCTCTGCGTCCTGACCTGAGTTAAGCTGATTAGCTCTCTGTCATTGATTTACATGCATCCTATCCAATCTCAAATGATTTTGATCTCTCTGTGATCATAATTTAACTTTGTTGTGTTTTGATTGATTGTTGTCTCTGTTCTTACTTAATCTGGTGGTTAAGTTTACTTCCTTAACTCAGGTTTAGACCTAATGGAGGATGTTTGTTGTGTTTGTGTTCTCTAGCACCAGCGAATGTTTAGCAGCCCAACAAAATGTTTGTGTTTACTGCCAGATATCACAAATGTGTTTTTGAGTAGCAGTTTTAATGTTGTTCCTCTCTCTTCCCTCCCCGGTATGTGGGTGTTCCTGTGTAATTTGTAAATGGTCCCCTGTGTGTGTCGGACTGTAAATGTTGCTTCCAGGTCTGAGGAAGAAGAACTTGTCTCCGGGTGCTGTGGACACGGAGGTGCGTGGCATCTCTGGTGTCGACCTGTTTGGGGCCTCTGATGCAGTAGTGAAGCACGTTCTGGAGGTAAGAATGTGGTTGTAATGGCATTAAAAAATGGAGCCGATCTTTGTGTTGAAAAGTGTGTGTGTTGGGGTTGAATGAATGAAGTTTGTTGTTGGTTTGAATGAAAATTTGTGTTCTCCTGCTCTGGTCTCAGGGTCACGATCGAGGCGTAAACTGGGCAGCCTTCCATCCCAGCATGCCTCTCATTGTGTCAGGAGCAGATGACCGCCAGGTCAAGATCTGGAGGATGAACGGTATGTGTTCTCAATCATGGAAAAATGTCCGTCACTGTTCTGATTTGAAAAAGATGACATTGGAAATGTAAAATATTTAGAATCAGAATCAGAATCATTCCCCTGTCTGCGCGTCCTGAAGCGCTTGATCAGCGCCACAGCTCCCCTGACTACAATGTCCAGCAAAACATCAGAATAATCAAAAACCGGTGAAATATCGGGTGGTACTTACTTCCGAATGTCCAGCAATTCGTCTCTGGTGAAACTGATCGCAGGGATATAACTAAAGACAGGACAAACTAACAAAAACATAAAAACAACTGCGGAGCACGCCACGGAGGCAGCCATCAGCGTCGGCGCCATCTTACTTACTTATTTAGTCCCGTTTTAAAACCTAGTGAACTTCCTTGCTGTCTACTACCTATACAGGCAGTTGTTTTCATGGACCCTCATCTAAACTTTCAAAACTCATATTTCGAGTTTGTTTATAACTAAAAGTCACACATTATGTATTAGCTCTTTTTTCCCCCTCTTTTTCCTCTAGAGTCAAAAGCATGGGAGTTGGACACCTGTCGAGGGCACTACAACAATGTGTCCTGTGCGGTGTTCCATCCTCGTCAGGAGCTCATCCTGTCCAACTCTGAGGACAAGAGCATCCGTGTGTGGGATATGTCCAAGAGGACAGGCGTCCAGACAGTAACATGAACATAGATTGTCATTTACTCATTAAATGACTCTTAACACCACTTGAATGCATGATGGAATCCATCTATTAATGCATTACAATATGCGATGATAAATGCATGACTTAACTGGAGTCTTTCTCACTCCTTTAACATCCAGTGCCCCTCCAGAGAACATTTTGACACGCTCCACCCCATCAATCCACCATTCAGTTCCATCCCTGCTCACTTCCTGTACAGCTCCTTTGCCCCTCTGGAAACATCCACATCTGCACATTGGTTTCTAATGCAGTTTTTGTTGGACTTTTATTCATTTAGCAGACATCTGGAGTGCTGAGATCTCCGATACACATTCTGTTCTCCTCTCTTTTTCTCTGCGTCCTGACCTGAGTTAAGCTGATTAGCTCTCTGTCATTGATTTACATGCATCCTATCCAATCTCAAATGATTTTGATCTCTCTGTGATCATAATTTAACTTTGTTGTGTTTTGATTGATTGTTGTCTCTGTTCTTACTTAATCTGGTGGTTAAGTTTACTTCCTTAACTCAGGTTTAGACCTAATGGAGGATGTTTGTTGTGTTTGTGTTCTCTAGCACCAGCGAATGTTTAGCAGCCCAACAAAATGTTTGTGTTTACTGCCAGATATCACAAATGTGTTTTTGAGTAGCAGTTTTAATGTTGTTCCTCTCTCTTCCCTCCCCGGTATGTGGGTGTTCCTGTGTAATTTGTAAATGGTCCCCTGTGTGTGTCGGACTGTAAATGTTGCTTCCAGGTCTGAGGAAGAAGAACTTGTCTCCGGGTGCTGTGGACACGGAGGTGCGTGGCATCTCTGGTGTCGACCTGTTTGGGGCCTCTGATGCAGTAGTGAAGCACGTTCTGGAGGTAAGAATGTGGTTGTAATGGCATTAAAAAATGGAGCCGATCTTTGTGTTGAAAAGTGTGTGTGTTGGGGTTGAATGAATGAAGTTTGTTGTTGGTTTGAATGAAAATTTGTGTTCTCCTGCTCTGGTCTCAGGGTCACGATCGAGGCGTAAACTGGGCAGCCTTCCATCCCAGCATGCCTCTCATTGTGTCAGGAGCAGATGACCGCCAGGTCAAGATCTGGAGGATGAACGGTATGTGTTCTCAATCATGGAAAAATGTCCGTCACTGTTCTGATTTGAAAAAGATGACATTGGAAATGTAAAATATTTAGAATCAGAATCAGAATCAGAATGAGCTTTATTGCCAGGTATGTTTACACCCTCTTTTTCCTCTAGAGTCAAAAGCATGGGAGTTGGACACCTGTCGAGGGCACTACAACAATGTGTCCTGTGCGGTGTTCCATCCTCGTCAGGAGCTCATCCTGTCCAACTCTGAGGACAAGAGCATCCGTGTGTGGGATATGTCCAAGAGGACAGGCGTCCAGACCTTTCGCAGAGATCACGACCGTTTCTGGGTGCTGGGGGCTCACCCCAACCTCAACCTGTTTGCTGCTGGTAGGATACTAATAATAATTAGTAGGGATGGGTAAAAAATATCGATATCTCGATATTAATCTATTCTCACCGATACATGACATCCACCACTGTGTTTATATTTCAAAAAAACGAATTGAAGTAGAAATATTATTGTGTAATTGTAACATTATTTTTAAAATTTCTAAAAATATTTTTTTTTTATATTTTTTAAAAAACATTATTTTTTTATTTTAGAATAAAAAGTGTAATTTTAACAAATCAGTCAATTTTAACCTTCAATATTATAGTAATGTAGTACCAACTGACTCTCATGTATATTTTACAGCATTAATTGAGAGATTTTTTTTTCCTTGAGAAAATTTGGCATGTACTATACCTGATATATATCCAACATAATCGATATTGAATCGATTCGAATCGAATTGGTAATCGAATCAAATAGCAAGCTTGTGAATGAGAATCAAATCGAATCGTGAAATTTGTGTCAAAACCCAGCCCTAATAATTAGTTAAGCAAGTGATTTTGGTGATGAAATGAGATGCATTAAAGTGTAATTTTGTACCTTTCCAGGCCATGACAGTGGGATGCTGGTGTTTAAACTGGAAAGGGAACGTCCAGCTTATGCCGTGTATGGGAACATGCTGTACTATGTAAAAGATCGCTTCCTGCGTCAGCTTGACTTCAACAGCAGCAAGGATACAGCCGTCATGCAGCTGCGCAGGTGTGTGTTTTATGGCGCTTTTCCACTGCATGGTACGGCTCGGTACGGTTCACTTTTGGGGGGTTTTCCACTGGGTACAGTACCTGGTACCTGGTACTTTTTTTAGTACCACCTCGGTTGGGGTTCCAAGCGAACCGTACCGTTACCAAAACGTGACGTGCAAACTCTGCTGATCACGTATTGGCCGGAGAGTATCGTCACTACCTGCGTCACTGAACTTGCGACACAAACACAAAAGAACCGCTAGATTTAAATCAGCACAGCCAGCGAAGGATCGAACGCAACTGTTTTGAACGAGCGCACCTTTTTTTAACAACCAAAAAGTGGCTGTTCCCCCTGTTGAGGAAGTACAGACGTTCCTCTCGTTGATAGCAGAGGAGCGGATCCAGCGAGAGCTTGATGGGGCGACGTGGAATGAAAAAGTTTTTTAGGAGACGCGGCAGTAGAGGCGGTGCAACTATAACGACATGTAAATAATCCCGCCCACTCTAAAGCGGTACTGAACTGCAGTGGAAACGCAAACCGAACCGTGCCGTGCCGTACTGAGCCGTACCGAGCCGAGTCGTACCACGCCGTGGAAAAGTGTCTTTTCTACTTCAGGTCTAAAAAACCTAAATGTCCATCTACAAAAGGTTTAGTGCAGTTGAACTTTTCAATTGAATGGTTTCTTTTATATCAACAGTGGATCCAAATTCCCAGTGTTCAGCATGTCCTACAACCCTGCAGAAAATGCTGTGCTGTTGTGCACTGTGAGTATTGTAGACTCTATCATTCTGCTTAGTCAAATCAAGGTTCATTTGTGTATTTAATTTCTTCCTCTTTCCATTTCAGAGAGCTACTAACCTGGAAAACAGCACATATGATCTGTATTCCATTCCCAGAGAGAGTGACTCCCAGAATCCTGATGGTAACATTTTATCCTTTCTCTTTAGAATTTCCTAATCTATTATGCAAAATGGAATTGTTCACGTTTTCTACACGTTTTCAGCTCCAGAGGGAAAGCGTTCCTCTGGTCTGACTGCGGTTTGGGTGGCTAGGAACCGCTTTGCTGTACTCGACCGCATGCACTCAGTAAGTGAATCAAGCAACACTTATTTGAAAGAAAAGAATGCTGCAGTGATGACACATTTATGTAGGCCTACCCTGGAAGTTAGCATCACCCTGGTTCCCGCTGCAAAACCCAAATTTCATAAATCCATAAAACCCTCGTAGTTTAAAGTGACATTGAACACCTGATGTCAGATTGCATTTGTGTTGCTGTCTATGAAGGGTCTGAGAGCTCTCGGATTTCATCAAATTATCTTAACTATTTGTTCCGAAGATGAACGAAGGTCTTATGGCTTTGGAACGACATGAGGGTGAATAATTAATGACAGAATTTTCATTTTTGGGTGAACTATCCCTTTAAGCTGAGAAAAGTTAAAGCTTTAAAAAAAATTGCAAGGGGGTATTACTGATATATTCTATCTCTTAGAATAAAATGTGAAAATATATTGAGCTTCTGTTAACCACAGACCTTATTTCGGGCATTTAACCAAAAACCCATTCTTAAATCCCATTGACTTCAGGACAATGTGGAACCAAAAGTGCTAAAATGCTAACTTGCTTCTGAGTTTTGGCATGCAAAAATATGCCATCTCTGTCACACTCTGTAGTATCTAGAAAAGAAGTATGACAGTGTACATATGTACTCAAACAAACCCAAACGCTTAGGGAGCGTATCAGTGCTTTGCTCGAAATGGCAAGATGTCCACCCAAGACTTAGTGCAGGTCGTCTTAGAAGGTGAGTAAGAGTGTTATGTTTATTAGCATTAAATTATAAAAATTACACTGTAAATAATATTTTTTTCTAAGTAAAATAAAACAAAATTTTTTTTTTTTTGTGGATCTTGTTATTTGTATCAGCATACTGTGTATGTAAAAAAAAAAATATCAAAAATAAATGTAATTAAAATAAAAAATACATACAAATAATTTAAATTTTTAATTCAAATAAAAAGCTTATTTTAATGCTTGTTTTTAATTTTAAATAATTTTAATATATTTAATAATGACCAATTTTAAGCCATCTTGCAGCCCCCTTAAGATTATCCGGAGGCCCCCTAATAGGTCCTGGCCCCCTTCTTTTTTTTTTCCGCTTTGCTGTACTCGACCGCATGCACTCAGTAAGTGAATCAAGCAACACTTATTTGAAAGAAAAGAATGCTGCAGTGATGACACATTTATGTAGGCCTACCCTGGAAGTTAGCATCACCCTGGTTCCCGCTGCAAAACCCAAATTTCATAAATCCATAAAACCCTCGTAGTTTAAAGTGACATTGAACACCTGATGTCAGATTGCATTTGTGTTGCTGTCTATGAAGGGTCTGAGAGCTCTCGGATTTCATCAAATTATCTTAACTATTTGTTCCGAAGATGAACGAAGGTCTTATGGCTTTGGAACGACATGAGGGTGAATAATTAATGACAGAATTTTCATTTTTGGGTGAACTATCCCTTTAAGCTGAGAAAAGTTAAAGCTTTAAAAAAAATTGCAAGGGGGTATTACTGATATATTCTATCTCTTAGAATAAAATGTGAAAATATATTGAGCTTCTGTTAACCACAGACCTTATTTCGGGCATTTAACCAAAAACCCATTCTTAAATCCCATTGACTTCAGGACAATGTGGAACCAAAAGTGCTAAAATGCTAACTTGCTTCTGAGTTTTGGCATGCAAAAATATGCCATCTCTGTCACACTCTGTAGTATCTAGAAAAGAAGTATGACAGTGTACATATGTACTCAAACAAACCCAAACGCTTATTCTCTATGGTTATCCCGCTGCAGCTCCTGATAAAGAACCTGAAGAATGAGATTGTGAAGAAGGTCCAGGTACCGAGCTGTGAGGAGATCTTCTATGCTGGAACTGGATCTCTGCTGCTGCGTGATGCTGAAGGAGTCACGCTATTTGACGTGCAGCAGAAGCGCTCCCTCGCTACAGTCAAAATCGCTAAAGTCAAATATGTGGTGTGGAGCTCCGATGCCAACCATGTGGCCCTGCTGGCCAAACACGGTAGTGAAAACTCACTAATTGGTTATATAGCCTTCTACGTATTGATTTTGCAATCACAAATAGCCACCTTTAAGGGTTGTGCAAGCGTGTGTGCCTTGCATCAAATAGAATAAACCCACATGCTTATGTTTTCTTTGATTTATCATGTTGTCACACATCTGACCCTCTGCTTTTGCTTTTCAGCCATCATGATCTGCAACAAGAAGTTAGAGAGCCTGTGTAACATCCATGAGAACATCAGAGTGAAGAGTGGCGCCTGGGCCGAGAATGAAGTCTTCATCTACACCACCTCCAACCACATCAAATATGCTCTTACCTCCGGGTACTGCACCAACAGCCTCACATGCAACTATTTCATTAAGAAAACCCTACTGTTTTGTTAATCATGAAATATTAATCTTTAAATAAATTGTTCTCGTAGTGATCATGGTATAATCCGTACATTGGATCTACCCATCTATGTGACAAGAGTCAGAGGCAACAGTGTGTACTGTCTGGATCGTGAGTGCAGACCACGAGTGCTCAATATTGACCCCACTGAGTACCGTTTTAAATTGGCTCTGGTCAATCGCAAATATGAAGAGGTTAGTGCATATTTTCAACAATTAAACTTGCGCCTTCTGGATTATTTTTTATTTTATCTGAATAAAAATGTATATAAATTGTGTAGTTTTTTTTTTTTTTGTATATTTTTGGAATGTCAAACATAAAATACTGTTTTCTAGATGATATCCCTGAAACGGGTCAGGAGAGTGGCTTACCTTGTTTACCCATTTATTTTATTTTCAGTAACTGCCTCTCTGTCAATCTTTTTTGCGCATTCTGATTTGCCTTTAATAACCATTATTTTAGTGTTATTCATATACTATTATAGTATGTATTAATATTTCGAAGTCGCGTTTTTATTTTATTTGTGTTATTAGTGTTCATTTTATTTCATTCTGTTTTGCTTTATTTTTATGTATTACATTTGGCTTTTAAAATTGTTTTCATTAATTGAAATAATAGATTTAGTTTTAGTTAACAATAGCAACACTGTTAATGGCCCTTTTTTTTCTACCCAACACCCTCAGGTTCTTCATATGGTGCGTAACGCTAAACTGGTAGGCCAGTCCATCATTGCCTACCTGCAGAAGAAGGGCTACCCAGAGGTTGCGCTGCACTTCGTCAAAGATGAGAAGACTCGTTTCAGCCTGGCTCTGGAGTGTGGAAACATTGAGGTATACAGAACTAACATTTATGGAGGATCAAGTCTTCAACACTTTTGCCTGAACAGGTGTTCATTCTTGATTTGTTTGTTCCTGCAGGTGGCGTTAGAGGCTGCAAAAGCCCTGGATGAACGTAGCTGCTGGGAGCGTCTCGGCGAGGCTGCGCTTCTGCAGGGCCATCACCAGGTTGTGGAGATGTGCTACCAGAGAACCAAGAACTTCGACAAACTCACCTTCCTGTACCTTATCACTGGCAACCTGGCCAAACTCAGGAAGATGATGAAGATAGGTGAGTGGCGAGGAAAAATCATAAGTACACTACCATTCACAAGTTTGTGGTTGGTAGGAATTTTAAATGTTTTTGAAAGAAGTCTCATTTATTTACCAAGGCTGCATTGATTTGATCAGAAATGCAGTAAAAACAGCAATATTGTGAAATGGTATTACATTTTAAAGTAATTGTTTTCTATTATTAACAATGTTGAAAATTATGTTGCTGCTTAATAGTCTTGTGGTTATCGAATTGACCCCAAACTTTTGAATGGTAGCGTATTGGTTTTCTTAAGGATAATTCATTTTTATGGATTGTTTGAATGATGTTTTGTGGTTCATGTTACAGCTGAGATAAGAAAGGACATGAGTGGACACTATCAGGGTGCTCTTTATCTGGGTGACGTCAGTGAGCGTGTGCGAATCCTGAAGAACTGTGGACAGAGTGAGTGCTGTCACTTTTATTTTGTTCACATGATTGGTTTATTGAGATTTATTAAAAGAAAATGACTTCTATTTCACATACATTCTCAGAGTCTCTGGCTTACCTGACTGCTGCCACTCATGGGATGGATGAGGAGGCTGAATCCCTGAAGGAGACCTTTGACCTGGAAAAAGAAATGGTATGTTATATTCTCATTACTAACAGAGATGCACTAATTTGTAGCTGAATGATTGAGCGATGGGTTCCATCCATGTGCAGGTGCCAGAAGTGGACCCCAATGCCCAGCTGTTGCAGCCGCCACCTCCCATCAACCCCTTGGATACCAACTGGCCTCTGCTCACCGTCTCCAAGGGCTTCTTCGAGGGAGCCATTGCTGCCAAAGGTGAGGTTTTGTGATACTCATACTGGCTCAGAGTGGGTAACCAGGATTTATGAAGTTGGAGGGATTTCATGTTGAAGAATAACATGTATTTTTGTGGTTGTTCGAATAGGACGTGCTGGTCAGATGGTTGCTGACCTGGACATGGATGCTTCAGGAGGAGAAGGCTGGGGAGAAGATGCAGAACTTCATTTGGATGAAGGTATTTACTATTATAAAACTGTTTTTGAAGGAGGAAACTAGACCAAACGATCAAATCACTTATGCTCTATCATAATCCAGATGGATTTATGGATGCTCAAGAGGGATTGGGAGATGAGGGAGCTATTGGGAAAGAGGAAGGAGGAGGCTGGGATGTTGAGGAAGATCTGGACCTCCCGCCAGAACTGGTAAGTCTGGTGTAGAACTGAAATAAAAATCACAACTGTTTGTGAATGGTTTTAAACAGAATCCTACGTAACCTTGTATCTTGTCTTTCCTTTAACCAATAGGATGTACCTTCTGTTGGCGGAGGTGGCGCAGAGGGCGACGGTTTCTTTGTGCCACCCACCAAGGGCACAAGCACCACGCAGATGTGGTGCAACAACTCTCAGCTGGCGGTGGATCACTTATTGGCTGGATCTTTTGAGACTGCTATGAGGGTAAACGGATCTCACAAAACTAAAGATCAATTTGTACTTCGGATATTTCTGATTTCCTGACATATTTGTGAAGTTAAAAGGTTTTGAGGCAGGAAAGAAAATCAGTAATGAGTCTAAACTACTAAATTGTAATGTTGCAGATATTTCTTTGCTTTCTCTTTCATGTTTTTTGTTCCCTTTTCTACAGTTGCTGCATGACCAGGTTGGTGTGGTTCAGTTTGGACCCTATAAGCAACTGTTCATGCAAACTCTGTCCCGTGGGCGCACCTGTTACCTGGGCCTGCCGTCTCTGCCCTGCTTACACAGTTACCCCCAGAGGAACTGGAAGGACAGCGGGGCTAAAGGAGGTCTGCCAGCGGTGGGCCTGCGTCTCTCTGATCTCATTTCCCGCCTGCAGCAGTGCTATCAGCTGACCACAGCAGGGCGCTTTGAAGAAGCTGTTGATCGTTTCAGAGCCGTTCTCCTAAAAAGATAAAATGATGGAAAATATTGTATCCCCCCTAATAGGTCCTGGCCCCCTTTTTTTTTTTTTTTTTTTCCTTGTGTGTACATTTTCATTAATAATCTGTTGTTCCCGTCTTTACTTTTTCAGACACGAAAGATTCTTGCAGCATGTGAGAAGAGCCTGACAGATGCTCACCAACTGAACTACGACCCCCACAATCCCTTTGACATCTGCCCAGCCTCTTTCACTCCCCTGTACCGTGGGCGGCCAGTGGAGAAATGTCCCCTGTCTGGAGCCTGCTACTGCCCCAAATACAAAGGAGAGGTCTGCACGGTCACACTGGTTAGTTGTAAGCCCTTGTAATGTCCATGTTTAATTGGTGTTAGTTTATTGAAAATAGAAAGTCTAATTTTGTTAATATGTGACAAAGTAACTCTGCTTTTCCCCTTGTTCCATCTGATCATGCGGTGCTATAAAGTGAAGGATCGATTTCATTGGCTGTTTCTCTCTTGTTTCCTAGGTAACCGAGATTGGTAAAGATGTGATCGGATTGCGTGTCAGCCCACTGCAGTTCCGTTGAACACACATTATATAAGCATGGATGAAAACAGATATGCTTCTCTCTCACGTGTACTTTTCCTTTATAAGATAAAGTAATGAAAACTAAGATCAGAAAATTCTAGAAAATACCTTGTTACATGACTAATCTTCCTGTGACTGTGCTTTCTATTATTATCTCTGAGGTCTCTACAGTATGTGTGCTTGTTTCATTAATCTGAATAACCAAGTGTACATCTGTGACCCTGTCAATCAGTGCAAAACAAGTTTCCTTTCCTGTGAAACTCTTTAAATGTTGAAATAAAATTCTGGTAAACAAATGTTTCACCATGTTTTTTTTCTTCTCCATGCAAGGTTTTTGTTGTTTAATACTATATATAAAAATAAAAAAAAAACATTACTTGAAATAAAAATCTTTTTTTTTTAAATCTTTTATTACAGCTAGTTGCCCATGCAATGTTTCTCATGTTCATTTAGTTTAAGTGCTAAAATGACTAAAACTAAAAACAAACTAAATTGATATATTAACTATATATTGAAATATTAACAAAAGCTACTGAAATAACACTGCTAACATGGCGGATATCGTTTTTACTTCTATATCTTTCCAAACCTCCTTATTAAGGAGTAAATGTGAATTGAAAATACTTGCACATTATTTCATGTTCATGTTTTTTTGTTTCCTTTATGACCACAAGGAGGTGCTAAATGTACAACAGTTACTGAGAATTAAGCCAACCAAGTTCACATGGTTTTGGTTAGTGCTCTAATTCAGTGTTTCCCAACCGGGGTGCCGTGTCTATGCTACAAAAAATGCTAACCCCTAAACCTACCCCACCCCTGACCCTAACCTTAACCAGTGAAATTGACAGCATGGCGGGATTGGCGCTGAATAGCGTGGTAAAGAAATATTCAAATATTGTGACAAAATTAATTTTGTAGGGTGCCACAAGTTTGTTAAAATTTCCAAAGGGTGCCGCGACTAAAAAAACGGTTGGGAAACACTGCTCTAATTTATTTTGATCAATTGGAAACTTGTGCTTTTGTACAATAATTCTGTACAATAACTCCCAATGAAGATGGATTACATTTCTGGTTTGCAAACTTGGAAAAATAATGTAATAAGTCCAAGACTCCATGGCCATTTAATTAAATAAGAATGTGTATAAACCGAGCAGTATTTTTATTAAAAGGAATAGTGTACTACTTCTGTAATCCACAGTTTGTTCAACACAAAACATCTCAACACTGGAAACAGGATTTTCCAATCATTCAAAGGTCTCTGTCACATCCCTGCTGTCTGCTTAAGATCATCCGACTCACATCGATGTTGTTGTTGGTAAAAACCTCTTTTCCGTGGTCGATTGTGGCAGCAGGCAGGGATCGGGTGCGGCCCAGAATCCAAGCGAAGTCTACGTGGAACAGTCTAAAGACATCAGTGCATGAATACACCAGCGCTGAATTCTCAGTCAGTGGACAAAATCCAGTATGGAGTGTAGGGCAAAACTGTCAATTCAAGTAGAGATGCAAAACACAAAATATGATTTAGGCAAGCATGTTGTTTCCTATTAGGCTAATTCTAAATTAGAAATGTCATTACTTATGGCAACAGCAAGGCATTTGAAAAAAGAAAATCAGATTTGTACCGTAAGAGAAACTGATTCCAAGCTTTGCTGGATTTCTTTTATCTTCCACCACAGCTATCCTGTCAATTGTTTTTAACTCTCCTTTTCTAATTAAAATAATGTTTACGGTTGAACAATTACCTCTTATATAAAAGTCTACGGAATTATACAAAACTGTGATTTAGACGTTGGTACCCACAGAATTTCAGAGCTCACTACATGAGCCGTTCCATCCAGCCTGAGGGTGAAGTTAGTCTCAATGCATCTACCTCGCTCAAACTGTGCTGGAAGTTTAGCGATCTCAAACCACCTGCCCATAAACTACATTAGGATTCAGACAAGCAAACAACAAAAACATTTAAGAGCAGAATAGAAGACCGGTTAATAGCATAAGCTGTGGCAGAGTAGCCTATGTTACCTTCTAGCAGGCTCTGGGCACGGCCCCCAGTGTGGCACCTGGGCATTTATGATGGGCAGAAAGAGGGCCAAAACAACCAGCAAGGCCTTCATTTACTTGTTTAGCCCTTTGCCAAAAAAAAAGGAATAAGAAAAAGAAATAGAATAGTTATACTGCATACATTCTAAGATGCACATTCACTACCATTCAAAATCTGGTTTCAGTAAGATTTTAAAGTTGCTGCATGACCAGGTTGGTGTGGTTCAGTTTGGACCCTATAAGCAACTGTTCATGCAAACTCTGTCCCGTGGGCGCACCTGTTACCTGGGCCTGCCGTCTCTGCCCTGCTTACACAGTTACCCCCAGAGGAACTGGAAGGACAGCGGGGCTAAAGGAGGTCTGCCAGCGGTGGGCCTGCGTCTCTCTGATCTCATTTCCCGCCTGCAGCAGTGCTATCAGCTGACCACAGCAGGGCGCTTTGAAGAAGCTGTTGATCGTTTCAGAGCCGTTCTCCTCTCCGTACCACTGCTTGTGGTCGACAACAAACAAGAGATTGCAGAGGTGTGTTTTCATTCAGGATGAGTAGTATATTGTTTTATATAGGGGTTACTAAACATTCTCTTTACTTTCACTCAGGCTCAACAGCTTATCACTATCTGTAAAGAGTATATTATTGGCCTCACTATGGAGACAGAGAGGAAGAAACTTCCCAAAGACACTCTCGATCAACAAAAGAGACTTTGTGAAGTACATGCATTTTTTTAATTCTAAAATTTAAATTAAAAAAAAGGAATAAGAAAAAGAAATAGAATAGTTATACTGCATACATTCTAAGATGCACATTCACTACCATTCAAAATCTGGTTTCAGTAAGATTTTAAAAAATGTTTTGTCTCTTATGCTCACCAAGGCTGCATTTATTTGATCCCAAATACAGTAATATTGTGAAATATTATGACAAGTTAAAATAATTGTTTCCTTTTTCAATATATTTTCAAATGTAGGCTAATTTAATTCTGAGATGGCAAAACTGAATTTTCAGCACCCGTTACTCCAGTCTTCATTGTCACATAATCCTTAAAAATCATTCTAATATGCTGATTTGGTGCTCAAGAAACATTTATTTTGATTATTATCAATGTTAAAAGAAAACTGATGTTTTTTCAGGATTATTTGATAAATATAAAGTTGAAAAGAACCGCATTTATTTGAAATAGAAACCTTTTATATATGTCCGTACTGTAGCCTAATTTTCGATCAATTTAATGCACCCTTTGCTGAATAAAAGTATTAACTTCTTTCCAAATAATTGAACAGTAGTTTACAGTATACATATTTAGTTTCTTGTGAAACAACTATTTTATAGCGGACAGTTTGACCAAAATAATTAAACAAACCCTTACCTCTTAAAAGTCTTGCTGAATAGCCTACGAGATGGACTGTGGAGCTCAGACTATTTATTTGAATCATTCTCCTCTGGGATCATGTGACTGCAGAAGAGACATGTCACGAAGGAGTCTTTGTGAGACCAGAGTTTATTCCCAACATGAAGTAAGTGATTAAGCAAATTGAAGTCATGAGAGAGAATGTTCCATTATGAATGAGTATCTAAACTGAACTTAACAACGTCACAATTCTTTGTCTTTTAAACAACCATTTTTTCCCCCTTTCTAAATATATCATTTGTGTTTTTCAAGTTCAACGTATTTTTGAGATATGCTAGTTTAGGGCAGTAAATTGTGGTCTGTGAGCTGTGACGATGAACCTAAAATCAGCAGCATGTTTACTGTCTATAATGGTGATGCTGACCGACAGAGGGCGCTACATTGAGGAGGATGTTCATCTGTCTGATCATCACAAATGCTTCGCCTTGCCAAAAGAATCTGACATTTAGGCCAGGGGTTTTCAACCTTTTAGGACATGCCCCTCGCGCACATCCACGCACATCCATACGCCGTAGCCTGACGTGCACCTCTGCAAAAATCTAACAGCGCGTCAATTCTACGCAGACCGCAAGCGCTGTGATTGGTCTGCAAAAACCCTCCCTCCATATGTACTTGAGTTTTGTGTGTTTATGTGCACTTTAATATATTTTAATGTTACACCTTCTTATATAAAATAAAACAAAGCAAAGAACAAGTGTCTTATCATTTATTATACTACATAGCATTATACATCAGTAGTTGTCCGCAACAAACAATGTTGATCTGCCGTGGTACAAGTCCTTGTGCAGATTGAAAGAATGCCATCATCTCCTGTTCCGTTGTTGTCTCCTTTTTGTAGTTTTAAATAATGATTTGATATTTGTTTGCCGCCGTCACGGCTATAATACTTCTCCTACGAGCCGCTTCTTCTTCGGCTTTTGCCGTGGTACTGCGGGTTACACCAGCAACATGCCCGTGGACACTGCTGACTAGCGGTTTGCATGTGTACTGCACGTTGACGCGGACAACGACGCAGAAGTATAAATGAAAACTACACTGTCAATAAGCGTGACCAGGGTTGCCAGGTTTTCACAACAAAACCCGCCTAATTGCTACTCAAAACTAGCCCAAAACGACAAAACGCGGCAAGTGTTAAAGTAGCCCAATTCCGCGGGAATACCGCGGATTTGGCAACACTGCGTGTGCCTGATACTCGAGCCAACTCTGCTCTAACTGTCGATTTAGCAGTGGGAGTCAGATTGCCCCCTAGTGGATGGCTAAAGATTTGTTAACTCGTATTCATAAATTCTCAAGGGAACGTCTCTGAATTAACTGATGCTCGCGCCCCCCTTGACAGGTGCTGGCGCCCCACAGGTTGAAAACGCCTGATTTAGGCTATGCCTTATTTTTGGTTCTGAATCTGATCTTACGTTATCCCTTTTAAACTCACATTTAGTGTCTCCCGTTATGTCAGGTTGGGCTTGATCATTGATTAAACTGAGGAATTTTTTTATTGCTTCTCTGTGGCAAGATCCTATCTGTTATCTAGGGCTCTAGGCTACTCATTGAGCCCAGAGGAAAGAGTGGTCCCCACACCTCATGAAATCTAAAAAAAAAAATAAAAAAAAACTGCCACATGTATGTTTTCCCAAAAGTTTTGTAGTAGATCTGTGTCTTTACATATGGACTATATCCTCACGTGTAGCTGAGTGTTTTGCATGTTGCAGGTGTTTGTGATAAGTTAAACAACACTGCTGTGATAAGAACATGAAGGATTCACGTGTGACTCGACCTCCAGCGGAGGAAATAACTTTGCACTCCCCTTTTGTAACAAACGGATGAATGGAAGAAAATTGTATAACATCTTATGTTTTAGATGAACTTAAAACGTCAAAAAAGCAATGTATAAAGTTTTATTTTTTAGCCAGTATATTTATTTACATGTAATAATTTAGCAGATGCTTTTATTTATTTTATTCATTTATTTCATTGGTAACAAACTAAAGCATTATTTTCAAAGTTTTGAACCTTCCTGGCAGACATAAAATGTCCAGATGTATGGACATTTAGAGTGTAACTTCAAAAAGGCACCAAAAACAAAATCCACCCTGAATGTGACAAAACCTAAACATCTTTTAGAAGCAAATGTATGGACTAATGAAAATTAAGTTCTCTTGAAAGCAAAGCACTTTGTTACAAACAAACATCCATCTTATTCTTCAGACTGTTGCTAAGGTGACAGAAGGTAAACTTAGATGGTCACATTCACGTATTAAAGCTTTTGTGCAGAGGTCCTCAACCCTGCTCCTGGGGACCCACTGTCCTGCAAAGTTTATTTTCCAACCTGCTTCAGCACGAGGAGCTTGATTAGCTGCTTCAGGTGTGTTTCATTAGGGTTGTAGCTAAACTCTGCAGGACAGTGGGTCCCCAGAAACAGAGTTGAACACCTCCGCTTTTGTGTGTCCTGTCACGAATCAGAATTTGTGACTATTTTTGCCTTATGTAAAAATGCATTGTACAATCATATAAAATAAGTCAAATAATTGGTTATTAACATGCACATATATCCTCTAGGAAACCTTCTGAATGTCTTTTACACCTTTAGTTTCAAAGATGTGGAAAGCTGTGGTGACCCGTTCATCACTCAACAACACAAGGTGTGTTTATTTAACCTTCAGTATCTTGTTGAGCAGATGCCCAGGTTCCCCAAACCTGTTTTAGTTGAGGGGATGGAGTTAGTGATATAACGAACCGATGTAAAGCTCTATAAATACTGAACTCTGTCGCTGTTCTTTACCTTGAACACAAGCTTCACACTTGAGACCAAACAGGTAAGATGCTCAGCATTTGAATCTCAACTATCCAAGTCTTAAAGCCGCATTTCTTCTTGTTCTCATTAAATATGACTCTTTTTTTCAGGTTTAAACTGAGAGAATGCAGGCTCTTCAGGTTCTATCTCTGACTCCGTCTGTGCTGATGGTCAGCGCTCAGTCCATCGGCTCTGGAAAATGCCCACAGCCTCCTGTTCAGCAAAACTTTGATCCTACTAGGGTAAGCTTTTTCTTATAAATGTTTCTTAATCTTTATATTATTTTTTTATTATCAGGAACAAATGTATAATTAATAATTGAATTAATAAAAATTTATTATCTGCATTTTTCACCAAAAAAAATTTTGTGTTGCATTATTTCTCATCATTTTGCCCTTTAGTACATGGGCAGATGGCATGAGATCATGAAGATTCCAGCCCCGTTCCAGTTAGGAGAGTGTTGCCAGGCCACTTATACTCTCAGTGACGGTATTGTCCTGGTTCGAAATGATGAGCTTCTGTAAGTACTGATAAACAATTACTACAATATAGGAGTAAATAATAAAATAAAATACATAATCACAATATATTTGTTCATATTTAATTTATATTCATGTTCAAAATACTTTTCACAATATATGAGTAAATAAAAATGTTTTAAAATAACTATTTTAAATAGTTCTGCACTTATAAAATAACTTCACCTAATATAATTTCACTGAACATCTTCACAGTGCTAATGGCACTATAAGCTTCATTGAGGGAACTGCCAAGATTGCAGATGCATCAGAGCCTGCCAAACTTGAAGTCAGCTTCTTTGAAGGTAAGTCTAAACAAATCATTCTTCTTAGTTTATTTCTTTATTTATTTTAAGAATCTGTGATTTGAGTTCTTTGTGATATGTCCTCTTTCAGATTCTCCTCCTGCCCCCTACTGGGTGCTGGCTACTGATTATGACAACTACACCCTGGTTTACTCTTGCTCGGATTTCGCCGGTCTCTTTCGTGCTGAGTTTTCCTGGATCATGAGCAGAACCCACACACTTCCTAAAGAGACCGTCTCTGAGCTGTTAGACATCCTCAAATCCCATGGCATCAGTACTGATAGTTTTACTGAGACCGACCAGAGACCGGAGCTGTGCAGCGTTATGCCTTAATAGAGCTGCCTTATATAATGAACTACTGTGAGATGTGTTGTGGTCGAATTTTTTTTTTTTTAAACAATATAAATGTAAGCTCTTTACATACAACATATTTTCTCAATCAGTGGTCTGAGGCAGTGAGAATGTGAATGCATCTATCTGCAAATTAAAGTTAACAACTAAAGCTTTTAGTTTAATTTATGCATTTCTGATGTCACTTTTCTTTCTTCAAACATGTCTACAAAATACCTACTGTGTGATAAATCAGTTGTTCCTTATTCAGCATGGATCAGACTTTGAATAAATATAAAAAATTTCAAATGCTCTCTCTTGTCATTTATGTGCACAAAAATTGTTTTGATCATGTCAGATAGGATTATGAAGATATTCCTTGCATTTTCTTTGTATAATCATCGTTATGTTGTAGAAAAAATGTATGTTTATTTGAATACAGATAAATAATATTTTTCCATGTTTTGCAAAATTTTACAATATTACACAAAAATTAGACAAAAAATTATTATTAGACTATAAAATGTCATATTTGCCGCATCTATACAAGGCCATGAAATTCATATGAAAAGCTAGCAAGGATGTTATACATAAACTGAAACAAGGGAACCTGCTGAAGATTGTCCAGTTTTGTCATTTAAATTCCATGAACATGATTGCTAATCAAACCATTAGATGTTTGTAGAGTAAATCCTTTCATTTTTACACAGAGAAAGTTTCCAGCAGGACTAGAATGGTAAATGGAACTTCTCTTGCAGTGGTGATTTTGTCACATGTTCTTGTGTTCACTGAGGTGTAATTAACACTAGTCAAATCATGGAGCTTCCACACACTTTTTAAAACTTTTTCACTTTTTTGCTCTTACCTGCAGTTGACTGAGCTCAAAGAAACTCTCATAAAAGAAATCCTCACAGAAAATAGGCTACAAACACTACAAACATTACACAGGCGTGTGAGCATAAAATCTGGGTATGAATTAAAACAGACCAGATTAAAATTACAACTCAGTGTAACTAAAATCTTAAATAAAGTCTTTTGGAGAGATGAACTGGCAGATATGAACTGTTTAGATCAGTATTTGATCAGACACTAATTATTGACACAGATCATGACAACTTCCTTTTTGTGGGATGAATTTTTTTCATTCATAATGATTTTAAAATTTTTATTTCAGATTTTGTTTCAGAGTAGCCTATATCATGAGGGTGAGTTGCATGCATCAGTATTTTTTATCATATAGGCCTAGCCTATATCTTTTCACAGTTTTATCACTTTGTATGAATGCAACTTACTTCATTAAAATGATCTTGTATCTGACTATATGTGTTTGATATACTTTCTCAGGACCACTCAGTTTATGAGTTTATACAGTTATGAATATAAATCACGTAAATCGCAAATATGTCTTTATATTCGAATCGGCTATATATATTCAAATTTGACAAGTCGAGTAGTTTGCATTATATTACTTGCTGTCGTTTAAAATTTTGATTTAGCCTAAACATGAAATATATCCTATAGGCTAGTTGCTGCCACCAAACACGTTTGTTTATGACAAATAAAAAATAAAAAAAAGAATCTTTATGCAATTGATCTGGATTTACATAATGGGTTTACACAATGAGCGTGTCCTCACGTGTCGTATGTTTTGCAGGGGTTTGTGATAAATAAATCAAAGAACACACTAATCAAAGAGTGTCCATGTGCTCGCAGGTGACAGTGAAGGACGCATGTTCTCAACAAAAACCTGCACTAGAAAGAAGAACTAATAAAACTAATGACTACTACTTTGTAGTCATTTAACATTTAAACAACAATGAAACAACGTCATTTTATACAAATAAACATTTTAAAACAAATGTAGAATGTAAAGTAGGCCTAGGCTACATAATATGCATCAGAATAATAAGAGTTGATATAAGCAGATTCAAAGGCAGACTCATAATAAACCTCATAACTACACTTAAGCATTTCTAAACACTGAGGAAAGAGTACGGCATTTACCATGTTTAACTACAGATATTGTTAATTAAAGATGCAGTTCGTAACTTTTGGCGCTCTAGCGGTTAATAAACAGAACTGCGTGCGTCTTGCGGAAGAACATTGTAGCCGGAGCTACTTCTCTCTGTTTATGTCTATGGCGAATCACGCAGGCACTGGGCTACTCCGCAGCGGTACCTACCCGAACCTTAATAGTCCGAATATAAACATTTTGTACATTTTGAACACAAAAAAGTTACGGACTGCAGCTTTAACTATAGTGTCAAATGCGTCAATATAATGGATAGAGTGACATCTAGTGGTGTGACTCAGAAATACAGAACGCTGAACTGAAGACAGTAATGCTTCGGTTATGCTATAGTCTACTGTCTGCTCTGTTTGAGGTCTAAAAGCCTATCAGAGTTACATTAGGCTAATTTGTTTGGCCATTGCTGATAGACTATTAAATAAATTTTTTATTAAACTATATCTTTTTATCTTTTTCTTTGTATACTGTCTAGTTATCAAGTACAAACGCTTTTGCATCAGCCTTGCTTTTACTGGTCTGGTTGAGTGCCAACAGTTTGACTATTCATTCAAAACTATTCAGTGTGAAAGAACACAGTCAGAGGTAGAATAAAAAAAACTACTTATCCATATCTGCACAACTAACATCAAACACTGTTCGGTCTTTGCAATCAAAAAATTTGTATACATCAATTTATGAATTGTTCTTATTTTAATGAAATGATGGGTGCATTTGAACCCTTGATATAGCCTATATTTGTCTATAATCTTACAAATTCATCTTTGTAATATTTAGTTAGATTCAAAGGTCGGGATAAGGGCATGAAATGTTCTAGAAAACTTTCTGGATGCATGCCAAAGAAAAAGTTTTATGTTACACAACATCCAAAATGGACTTACATAATGTACGTTTATACATTACATAAATAGTCATGTTTTAAGATATCAGTGAATATTATTAGAACGATAGATGTCATTCATGTATCCATTCTCCATTGTCAGTTATACTAAGATTATAAAGAGTTCAATATTTTTATTTTATAGGTATTTTGTAAAACCTTATTAGGTAAGAAATTTGAGTAGTGTTTTTAATATGCTGGTCACATTGTCCTACTTGAACATTGGACGTGATAAAATTCATAGCCAGTTCTTTTTTAGAACTACAATTGCATGTCATTTCCCTTATGAGTGTATTGAAAGAATGATTAGCCTGCAAGTGTGTTTGAATGACCTTTGTGTGTCATAAGCCCCCGTTTGAACAGATGTGAAGAGCCTCAACCTTCCCCAAAAAAAGACATCATGTAATGGAGGTGGGGTTTATTGTCAAATTAATTCAAAAATGACATCATGGCTTATATATATCCATCTCTAGCAACAACATCTCACCTCAGGCACAGGTCAGAACAGGTTAGATGAGGTCTGAATGCCCTTTTCTGTTGTTTTTGCACAGGAAAGGACAGTTCAATTATTTATGTGATAATATAACAAATGATTTGATGACTAAAACTGCTGCTGTTAATATCCGTTCAGGTGAAACTGAGAGAATGCAGGCTCTACTGGTTCTGCCTCTGCTGTCCGTGCTGGCGGTCAATGAAGGCTGGAGGATGTCAGTAGATGTTGTTTCTAAAAGTTTGATAGTCAAAATAGCTCCCTGCATGTTGGTCACCACACATTTGATTTTGGTGGAAAGTAGATTTTTAAATATTAACAACTGAAAAATGGAATGGATGAATGTTATTTAATTTGAACAGGAATTATATTATTATTTCATTTTAAACAAATATATATTTAAATTTTAAATGTATTTAAAATATTTATAATAAATTATCTACAAGAAATCGTAACATTTTATATTGATCAAGTCAAAATTAATTTTATTTCAGAAATTGAAAACATGTCCATCATAGAGAGACTTAATAATAAGTCACATAATAAACCCGAATACAGCCAAAATTGTAATATCTTAGTTTAAATAAAAAGATTTTACCTGATAAATGTTCTCCAAAACGTGTTTTGGGGATGTCTTGATTTTCAGTGGTAGTTTTGTTAGTGCATAAAGAATTATGAAAATAATCTATTTTATATTGAAACTGACCCAGGATATCCATCAGTCTAAAAGGCATGTGTTAGTAACTTCATACTGCAGGTCTACGTGTACTAATAACAGCACGGGGTCAGAGGTCATAGGTCTATTTTGCATGTATTTGTGGTCACTGCGGTAACACTGACTGTATTATTCATGTCTGTTTTTTATCTGTTTAATTTCTTTGAAGAGTTCCCTTATCCTCTGGCATAATTCAGACTACGCAAACAGAGTCTTTACCAAGTGGTTTTGGGGTTAAACCCCACATTATCCCTTTGCCTCACTGTGACTCTATAATACAGTGCACAAACAGGTTGGCCAGAAATCCCTCTTAAAAAGCTTACTCCGCACAGATTCTTAAATTAGTGGTTTACATGTCTTAATACTCTGCTCTCCCGATGTCTAAGCACTTTATTCTTGATTTTCTCTTTTTGGCCGATTTGAGTCCACACCTGTGCAACATTTATAAGTGTATTAGTCTACTCATAAATCGTCTGACTGATTTATGAGTAGACTAATCATATTAAAATGCGGTTAAAGACTTAACCTATTACCTGGAATTATACTATTGAAGATGTATATTGTAGATATTATTTGTAAGATCTGTTCATATATAATTATTAAACCTGTGTGATTGACTTGCACAATATTTTAGGATGAATAAGATTATATTCATGTCTTTTCTCAAAATAAGATTTTTTGTGTTGAATTAGGACTGTCAAAAAATAATAATAAATATAGCTGCAAGCAGCGATGGCGGGCCCAAGTGAGATTATGTAAATTCAGATGAATGTCATGTCACAGGATGTCATAGTTTTTAACATTATATAACTATGTTAACATGAACAATATTTATATAGTATTTATGAATCTCAGTTATTATCATGTTCAAAATTGACAACTACATTATTTATTAAAATGTATAGTTAATGCACATCAGTTACTGTACCATGAACTAAGATGACATTTTTTTTACTAACACAAATAAATACAGCAAAAACATATTGTTTATAACATTAGCAATTAGCATTTATTAATGTTAATTAATATTAAGTTCAAAATGCATTAATACATTATAAAAATTTAAAGTTGTACCTTTTAACATTAGTTTATGTAATGTGAATTAACATGAACATGACTATTTTTATTTATTAACATTTAAAAGATGAATAAATG